TCTTCACAATTCAAAACTATTTTCTTAAGGAAGTTTAACAATTAAAATACCGTTAATCATTTTTCTCTAAAACAAAAGAAAGAAGCAAATAGTTACTTTGTCAATGAATAAGTTTGCACGAAATTGAAAAATTATTCGAACCCCAGTATACACATACAGTACATAACACCACAGCAAACATCAAGAGTAAAGAGCAACAAATACATAATCAATAGAACAACAACGATTAAAATATGCAAGAATAATAAGAACAGTGACAGTGATATAATGTTGTTAGTCTCTGTTCAAATCTGCAGACACGTTCTACGTTCTGCTCAAGCATTAAAAAAGGTAAAAAACATTAACGAAACAGAAGAACGAACGAAGAATTAACCGGATCGCTGGCAACGAGACGAGCCATTTTATCGGAGACTTCAAGAGCGTGGCGAGAACCAGCCCAAACGATCTTCATTTCTTCGACATCGAATTGCGTCTTGTTCCGCTCGAAAGCCAAGTGATCAACGACGCCTTCCATTTTCTTCTTCTTCTTTTCTCTCCCGATGAGAAAACCTAAATCAGTCTCTTCCTTTCGATTTCAAATCACGGTGGTTGCGTTTGTTTAAATCGCTAATGAAAGTAACCTACTTTCTTCGTGTTAGTTTGGAGAGTGAATGATATTATTATGATTGAAACATTTACTCCTCTGATTGCACTTTATCGGCCCCAACAGCCAAATGTCACGAATAACGTTTCTTCCTAATTTTCTCTCTGGAAGATAAAAAATTTAAATTTAAATAAATTATTGAATTAATACGCACGTGGTTGGTAACACGCTGCACTTCCACTGATTCAAGACGCTGTTGGATCAAATTTCTAGCTTTTTTTATTTATTTTATTTTATTTCACTTTCTCTCTCTTTTATTGGATGGAGTGTTTCTAAGGATGTATTTAAATGGTTCTATTCCCTCCTATTTTTTGTTACAGCTATCGATAGGGGGCTTTCGCTTCCACCCAGCTATTCATGTATGTGTTGCTTTGTTGCATGATTTAATCAGATTCATTTATTAGCTTAGTCTAAAAACACTTGCTGTATTGGCTGAGTCCTAAAAAAATTATGTATTATGGTTTGATAAGTTAAATGGTTGATTCACCTACTTTCTGTATTTAATTTACCTTTTTAATATTATAATTGAAATCAAATTTCAAGAGAAATAGACATGAAAAAAAGAAGTAAGTTTAATAGTTTTTTTTTATAACTTTTGTCAAAATTATTAATAGATCCTTCAAATCAATGTTAAAAAAAATAAGTTTAATAGTTTTATTTTTGTTAAAAAAATCAATGTGAGCAATGGTTGGAGAGTGTTTCACCCTACACCTTCGAATATTTTCACAATGACGATTTTATCTATACTTTATTAAAATTTAATAAATTAAATTATCACAGATTTTGTAAGATGTGAGTTATTATTTAGAAGATATTTTCCTTCAAGTATATATATATATATATATATATATATATATATATGTATGTATGCACATTTTGAACAATCTCGTATCTCACTTTCTCTGGCTCTCTTTTATTCTTCCCTCTCCTTGGTTGCACGCAGCACACTCCAACCACATGCAGAAGGGATCTTTGAGGGTTTAGGAACTCCCAAAGCAGCCTGTGCAACAGAAAATGAAGATATTGCACTCTCTGCAATCATCATTCGGAATCAATTCCACAAAAAAGTACAATGAAAGAGAAGAAAGAAGATGGGCACCTGAAAAAAAGAGGAGGGTTGGCCACCAAAGACACAATTATAAGTATGAATTTTGGAGAGAATCTGAGCAGCTTCAAGGTCGTGACGCTGGCTGAGAGAGTAAGAGAGTGATGGGTCAGCGACAAAGAGGGCATTTTCAAGAGCTTGTTCCTTATGCGTGCTGTCACACGAGTATGATGCAATTTGCTGCAAAATGAAAAGGTTGCAAATTGATGGATGAAAGATTGAAGGGTGAAAAAAGAGAGCGAAGGAGAGGGTTTTGATACCACAAAAACAAAACTCCAATTCCACTCCTTCATTCGTTGTGTTTCTTACTCTCCACCTTTTCTTCTGTTCTTACTTTGCTTCCCCCACATACATCTATCACAATAGATATATATTTAGCACACAACATAAATATCGGCTCTCCATATCCGATCCCTCGTCTATCGGATATTGATATCTGATAACCCTCTTCTCGGATTTTCATATCCAATAATATTTTCACAATTTTATTCTTTCTAATATATTTATATTAAATTTAAAAAAATCATAAAAATTATTTTTTAACAATTAAAAATTATCTAATTAAATTATAAATTCATAAAAATTTATACATAAATTTAAATATAATTATAAACTAATAAAATAATTAATTAAGTAATATAATTAAATATTTTTAAAACAAAATCTTTATCACAATGGATATATACTTAGCACACAACATAAATATCGGATCTCCATATCCGATCTCTCATCTATCGGATATTGACATCCCATACCTCCTTCTCGAATTTCCATATCCGATAATATTTTCATAATTTTATTTTTTCTAAAATATTTATATTAAATTTAAAAAATTCATAAAAAATATTTTTTAACATTGAAAAAGTTTGTAATTAAATTTAAATTCATACAAATTGATACATAATTTTAAAAGTAATTATAAACAAATAAAAATAATTAAATAACTAATATAATTAAATTTTATATAACATATCAAATATAAATTGAACATTCGAAAATCAAAACATCGGATCTCCACATCCTATATAATTAGAATCGGATTTTTACCTCTGATATACACATGTTAAGTTTTTTTTTATTCTAAAATAGTTTTATTAATTTTAATAAATTCATACAAATTAATTTATATCAATTAAAAATTATGTAATTGCATTATAAACTCATACAAATTCATACTTAAAAATTTAAAAATATTAAGTACGACAATAAATTATCACAGGTCCAATGGAGTTCAATGGGATGTAAGGTTTCATTTTAATACATGAGAAATGGGGTGCATGAATGCATGACAAGAGTGCATGTTTCCTAGGAAGAAAACGAGGTGTAGTCAATGTTTGACACATAAATTATCAACAAACATAAAATTAATAAATAAAAAATTTATTAATTAAGAGTATTTTAGGAAATTGAAGGAGCATGAATATTTTATATAAGAGTGTTACTCTTTGCACCTTCTCACTTTTCTCCCTGCATTTCAACATTCCAAAAATACTCTTCTTCAACAGATTTCGAAATCCGTTGAAGCTTTTACAAAATCCTTTAACAAATTTTAAAATCTATTTAAAAAAAAATTCTTCACCAGATGTTGAAATCCGTTGAAGAAAAATTTCTTCAATAATAGATTTTGAAATTTTTTTCAAAAACTTCAACAAACTTCAAAATTTGTTAAAGATTTGAAAAATCCTCCAACAAATTTTAAAATTTGTTGAAAAATTTTCCTCAACAAATTTTGAAATTCATCAAAAGAAAAGAAGAGGGGTGTAGAGTTTTTTTTAAAATACATAGATAGTTTTGAAATTTTTAGAAAATATAGGAGTGCAAAAATAAACATGATGTGTATAGGGAATAAGAGTCTTTATATAATCCTAGAAATAAATTGTGCAAATTCTTCAAAGCATCACCTTTTCTGATTGTTGCATCTTTATATTGTCATTGTCACTATTGTTGATTTTTATGAAAATAGTTTTTTTATTATAAATAATTATTTAAATTTTAAAAAGTGGCTATAATAATAAAAGAATAAATAATTTTTTATAACGAATAATTATTTAAATTCAAAAAAGTAGTTAGTTAAATAATAAAATTGAAAAGTATTTTTTTTATGAATAATTATGTAAATTTAGAAAATAATAATTAAAAGGATAAAATAGAAAAAAACAAAAAGGACACCAAATAGGTGTATCCTTTTTTGTATAATTATAGGTCACTTTAATGAAAATTATAATCAAATATACTTCTCTAATAAACACTAATTTTATTTTTATATTATGAACTTTAACCACTTTATAAACTCTTGCAATTTTGATTTTAATGACAATTTGCTCCTCTGGTAAATACTAATTTGATTCTGATGTTACGAACTTTAACTACTTTATAAACTTTTGCTAGTTTTGTTATTATATCACGCATTACTATAATATAAAATTGTGACTTATAAATACATAATTGATTTTCTCGTGACAGGATATAATTCATTACTAACACAAAATAAATAATAATTTATACTAATAATAGTCATTCAAAACATAAATATTGCCTGTTTCTAAACCATTTTCATGTGGGCCGTTCGAATAGAACCTGCAACAGGGCTCTCCACCAACAATAAATCAGTTGAGTAAACATTTATTGTAACCTAATCTTATCCATTAATCAGTTTAAATCAAACTAGTTAAAAATTATTTAATTTATATGTAAAATTTTATATCATTTAAAAATCGTCTTAACATTTAACTTGGTGAATTATTTCAGCCAAGAATAATAATTTTATTCAATTACTTTTTTACAATAATGTTTTAATTTATTTATCTGGAAATATGTTTATTGACATTTTAAAATATTTAGCTCCAAAGCAAGCTCTAAATAAACTTAAAGGCAATGAAAAAAATACACATGAATGTTAAATGGGTTGTCCAACTTATCTTCAATAAAAATAAAAGTAAACACTCTTAACATAGATGATAGGTGCAATTATTTTATATCATTTAAGATGGTTGATTAACACACTAATAACACCAGTATGATTTAGTTATTTGACCCCACTTTTTAGTAAGTTAGACAACCCATATCAAATAGACCAGAGTCATGCATTAGATAATTTATATTTAAGGAACAAGTAAGCTTATTCAAAGTGAGTTTAACTTATCTCAACCCATTTCAAGCCCTACCAAGTAACTACAATTTGTGCTCTTCATTTTCTGTCTCACTCTGTTAATTCAGGAGAGACCGGTTTGATCAGGTAAAGCACTTCAAACATTCTAATCCAGCACTTGAAAACATTTAGCACAACTTGGTACATTGTCAAACTGCACAATCAAACCTTAACTTTACATAACCCTGACAAATGAAATCACTAAACAAACACAAAGTTTTAGTTTAGAACCCAAGTAACTCCTAGACCTGCCTATCAGCAAATAAAGAAACTAGGTTAATCATTGTGAATGGACAAAGAAAAAATTATTTAAGTTACCCCACAAACAGATGTATGATGAACACAAGACCACATTCATGAGGCCGGCATTGAACGGTAATGCTTACATAACAATCCTTTCCTCGGAAGACGAGGAACACCCTTAAACTGCATGGATGGCACTGCCATTCATATTTGAACTACCACATGTTGGTGTTGCATGGAAAGCTGACTGTCTCGAGGGTCCTTCTTCAAGAAGTTTAAGAGACAGGGAGGAGGGGCCTGAATCACCAATAGACTCCCCTAGACTCAGTTTTGAGATGCCAACCAGTTCATCAACATTGATTGGGCTTTTAGAATGTACTGCAGTTGGCTTCAGCACTTCATGCGTCTCCATCTTGGCGGGCTCTGGATTGTATCCTGACCAATAGGGCAGAGGAAATGGGAACACTGGAGAATAGTATGCAGGATATAAAACTGGATAAGATGATTGTGTGTTTTCAGGCTTTGATGGGGCAGGTTCTCCATCATTTGAGTTTGTGGAATCCATGGATTCACACTCTTCGTCGAGGGGAGGAGGCGCAGGCAAGGAGTTATTGCCTTCTGTTTCAACCGGTAACTGATTAGCTGACAAGAAGTCTTGCTGTACCATTGCAGTGTCAGCTGCCTGCAAAATCACAACAAAAAATACAAGAAACCTGGAAAAATTAGAAGTGTCCAAGGACAAAGGGAAATTACAGATTTCCAATACCAGAATTTGTAAAAGCATCCATGAGAAAATGCAATGTTTATCTCTAAACTACTCAAGGGCAATGTTTTGAAATATAATCTAAGCAGAGCTTGATAATCAATACTCGTAAGCTAGTCAAGATCCAAATTTGTCAAATCCACTGCAGAAGAAAGGAAATGAGAATTTTTCATACATTACAGACATCAATATATAGTTTGAGTTTAACTAACTTATTTGTCACAGGAGCCAGAACATATCAAACCATCTACAAAGAAAGAAACATATTTGGATAATCTAATATATGCCCATGAAGTAATGAACAGATTATGCAGCATCAATTTCTAGGTATGCATTTTGATGAATAAGGGTACAAACTTCATCTGCAACAATATCAAACAAGCTGGACCGTCTTTTCCGCCTGGACACATTGCTTTGCCTGATGAAATACTTTTGTGCATGACTAGCCACTTGAGTAGGTGTCCTTGATATAACATAGTTCCTTGCAATTCCACGCCAATCACCTTTGCCCAGCTTCTGCAATCCGAGTAAAAACATTCTATGTTCCTCCTCAGTCCACGGAACACCTGCACAAAAGAAATTGTACATTAAACCTTGACATAGCGACATAAAAAACTGGGCTTGGCCATAAATGGATCACAAATTAAAATCTTTAGACTCGTCAGAGCCAAGCTTACAACAATAAACAAAGACCCACTAGGGAGGTAAGGGGGCGGGTATTCAGTTAGATGATATCAAACGACACCATAATGTTCTATTGTGAATCATATCTATACACAAAGAATCGAACTCGAGTCAGTTTCAATGGTTTTCCCTACAACTTTTCTGGGTCTTCTTCTATTTCTAATCATAGGGCTACCCTCCATCCAATATACTTTTCATGGTAACGATTCCACAGGTCTTCTCTGTCCATGTAAAAACCACCTGAGGGATATTCTAATAGATTTTCTACCACAGGTGCTATCCCAAATCTCTCTCTAATTCATTCCTTCCAAATCCTATATTGTCTCTAGTATGTTAAAGATATCCACCGTCAAATTCTCATCTCAAATACATTGAGCTTATTTTTTTATTGATTTCTGATCACCTGAGTACATCTCACCTTCATTGAGCTTATAGTCGTGTAGGAAATTTTTCTTTTAGTTCGAATACCTTTTCGTAACAAAGAACACCTGAGGCACTCATCCATTTTATCCACCCTACTTGAATACCATGGTTGACATCGCCCACCACTTCTCCATTCTTTGTGTATGATGAATCCATAATACTTAAACCATGCGACTGGAAATAATAACATATGTTCTCCAAGTTCTCACCTCTAAGGTAGGAAAGATGTGCCTCTAGCTAGCCTTACATTTCATACACTCTTTTAATCCCTGCTTAAATCGAAGCCACAAGCTTCCAAAGCTAGTCTACACTCTATCCCATTTAATTTCTCTCTAAAATCTCCAACTAGGACTATATCATATGCAAAAATCATGCATGTGGCATCAACTATAGGATATGTTCAGTAAGCTCATCCCATTTAATTTCTAATACATCATTCAATGATATTTTATTCCATAGGCGCATGTTGCCTTTTTCATCCTTAACACATTTTACTCTGTCCAGGGATCTTTAGCAAGTGGGAAGTTAGAATCACAATAATGTGAAAGAAAATATATTGAAGATAGGACTATAGCTAAGCATAATGTGAAAATAAAATAAAAAACAAAAAAAAAATGTATAAATGCTCACACAGCATTAAAGGAGGAAATAAAGGTGACAAGTTATCATTATGATCTAATCATTAGAGCAATATGTAATATGGAAACGCTAAGAAACATAGCATCCTAGTTTATTAATTAGATGATGATGATGATGATGATAACAATAATAATATATATAATAAATATGACGAAATTACTATAATTAAATAAATGAGCTTAAGTCAAGTAAAAAAGAGATGGAATTTTAAAGAAAAGTAAGATTTATGAACCCTAAGTCATACCATATTCTCATAGAGCACAAATATTTGAGAAAGGAAGGAAGAGAGAAGTTAAGAATAGAGGAAAGAAGAATGGAAAATCTAAACACCCTGTTTTTAGAATTGTCAATTGTCCCAGGTAAGTGCAGCCCACTGTATGCTTCCCACTTCCCATATTGTATGAATAATTTCTTTCAATCGAGTATATGTTTCTTAAAATTCATGAATGAATGTGTTTAGAGTTCCATTAGGGTTTAGACAAATCAATACATTATTAGTGATTTTCTATGGGCTTTTATAATTATTAATTGACTAATATTATGTGTTTTTTTTTCATGATTGGAATGGTTTGGGTGACTACGAAATGCCCCTATTAATACTCTATATGAATGAATATCAATATTTTATTCCATACATGAATGATATGTTTACCTCCTAGTTGAAAGACGGATTGCATGTTTACCTCATACAATGACCAAGATATAATTGTTTATAAGAAAGCATGTATAAGTCTGTACACCCTCTTTGGCAAGACAAGGATAATAACTCCTTCAATCTCCAAATAGTGGTTGACACTCCTCAAACTAAGGAACATAAATATACGTAAAAATTTATGTTAAGGGAAAGAATATTATGCCAGAACGTTCCCTTTTACAAGAAAAGAATATTCATCTCCTTCGGTTGTCAAAAGATGGTCTCATCCTTCGGCTATCAAAGACTCCCTTTAGATTCTCTTTGACAAGGGAAGGATGTATGGAAAAAGCAAGGAAGACAATCCTCGAGATTATAAGCTCAAGTTTGACAGTAGGACAGAAAAGAAAAGCTAAAGTAATGAAAGCTAAGAAAGATTATAAAGCTATGAGAATGTTATAACAGTTTATGCAGAAAATATAAGATGTTATTCTGTCCTTAGGACGCTCAACTAAACCTTCGTTTTATTAGTTTAAATTAAAATGCTTTAGATTAAACAGGGCTTGCAGGAAAGCAGTGAATGTCATGCTTTTATTGAAGTCCTACTATGTGGAGCATTCATTAGTCTTTTTACTTTTAATTACAACATTATAAGGATTGATGATTAATAATTGTAATATACCTTTGGAATCCAAGATTGAGATGTTTATATTTTATTTTATAAGTTTTCTTTACTGTAATTCTGCATTATACATAGTACGACAATAACTGTGAATACAAGCTCGAAACTAACCAAGGGATTGTAAACGGCCCATGATAGATCATGAGACCTATTCCTCCCCCTACACTCAATGTACAACCCCAACATGAAGCCTAGATGTTACATAATGACTCAATCACCTTCAAGGATAAGCTGGAAAATGAAACTAAAGTACCTAAACCAATACCAGGTGTTTCCCTTGAAGTATCAAGGAGTCAATTAAGAAGAGGAATATGACTCCAGAACAAGAAGGTAACCCCCTCACAACCTTCTTCTAACAAGAGGTTCAAAAATATTTTATGGGTGGGTAGGTACGAGGCAAAGAGGGGACTAGGAACCTGACTTGGTCAATATATCAATCATGTTTACAGCGTGCATGAAACAAATAGAACTGTACTATCAAACTGGTGTTCTCAAACACCATTTTTTTATGAACAGGAGATATCCTATTTGCAATTAGTAGCAAAAAGTGTAAATGCCCTGTGACCTACAAGTGCACTTCTGTCACCCTATCATCTGATATATTTAGCATGAGCATCAGTCAGTGTAGAGCCTGCATCAATGCTTGTTAAACTTACATAAAGCTCTTCGAACTAGTTGGTTACCTTGTTTATTAAAAACAAAAATGTCCAGAAATTACAGCAGCAGTTTCCATGTAGCTGAAATAGAGAAATATATACACATAGCGTACCCCCATAGTTACGGAACACTTTCAAAGCAAACAAAAAGAAATCCAATAGAAAGCATAATGAACTTGTCTATAGGCACATAAGTTGTCTCTAGGCTAATCTGGCTCAAAACCTGGTCTTTTTCACAGGTCAACTAGCAAAAACTTAGACAGATAAGCTCCTCACCAATTAGAACCTTCAGTGAACCAAACAAGCCAGTTCTTCTCAAAGAACATGGTAATTACGGAATTGAAACACACCCAATCCATTTCTAAATATTTTCCAGATTCAAAATCTAGCCAGCCAAGCATAAATACATACTTCACACAAACACTCAAACTATTCAATCATGGAAAAAAGAACCCTTCATAAAGTTAACTAGTACTTTCTTGTCTAGTTATTCCCACAGTGACAACAGACAAAAACAGAAATATTTTTTTGACCAAGAATAGCTTTATCCAAACTAAAACAATCCACCACACAATTAACCCAATTTAATTCACTTCACCTAACTCAATCAACCAGTGTAAACACCACCGAAAAAAACATTCCAATTCCCAACCAATTTCCAAAAACCAGCATGCAATTCCACGAGTAACCTTCAAGTCCAGTAAAAAAAAAAAAGTAATATTGTTTTAGATAAGAAATCCAACCCTTCTTTCTTTCACGGGAGCTCGAAGAAGAACCGGGAACAAAGTCCTCGGAGGCGTAACCATCGGCCGCGGTAGCGTGATCGGGGGTTTCACCAGGAGAACCCGGATTGTTTGACCCCGCATGGAGAGGTCCGGACCCGGAACCAGCATAATGGGTGAGATTACCCATACTAGCACTCTTCCGGATCGACCCGTCGGTTAATCGGACTCCGAACAGCTTAACTCCACGATTGGGGCAGGTCCTGGAATTGTGCCCATTGTGGCTGCAATGGGAGCAACGTCGGGTCATGGCGCGTTCCCAACCGGATCGGCCGAAAGGAAAGTACGAGATTGTGGGAGCGGGTCTTGGGGGATCCGAATCACGGGATCCGAGACATGAAATGGGAGTTTTAAGGTTATTTAGGTGTGGTAAGAGGGAATAGGTATTGTGATGTGTTTGTTTTGGGTTATGTAATGTTTTTTGTTACGGTCTCCCTCGGCTTTCGCAGATGGGAGAGAAAGAGAGATGACCATCAGCACAACACTATCCATTTATCTTGTCCTGGATAAAGGGAATAATTACGATGCATCTCAGCTGTATTGGGAACCGTGGTCCTTCACTTTGGACTGTTCACTTAGTAGGTGGGATCTTACGTGGCACAGATTTGGAGACCTTTTACTTAGGATAGGGTGCGCTTTCCAATAGTTGCTTATCAAGTTAATCAGAGTATCAGATAGTTACGTGCCTCCTTGCACGTTACTTCAAATTAATTTTACGAGGTTGTGACGCGTGTTTTTATAAAAAAAAAGTTATAATTTAATTAAAAAAATATTTGTATTTTCTTATTGTAATATTTTTATATTATTATTAATTCTATACCGTCAAAATTAATCCATACAAACTTTTATCATCGGATGCGCGTGTTGTGGTTCTAGAAATTTTTATAAATTAATTTTTGTTAAGAAATTATTTGTATTTTTTAAATATTTTAATTACTCAGAGATAAAATATAACTTACATATTTCAAATATTTATTTATTATAAGTTAATCATGTAAAAGTTATGGATTGTTCAAACTAAAATAAAAGTTAATTGTAAATATAAATGTTCAATAATTATTAAAAATATACCCTTGTAATTTATAAGTAAATGAATAAAAAAAACTAGTCACTGTTCTGTTAAAATTAATTAAATGTAAAGTTTGATTTCTATATTTTCTAATTACAAATGCATAATTATAATAAAACTTTAATTATTTTTGTTAAATTTTAAAAGTATAAAAGTAATTATTGATTATATATATTTGATTATATTTAAAAAGTATTACATTAATTTATTTTCATATATTTATTTAAATTTTTTTCATATAAGTATAATTTATACGTCGTGTTTCTTGTAATATTTATTTATAAATAGTATAGATAATATTGAGGAAACTACCTTTAACATTGCTTATCAGACTTTGCTTTTGTCTTAAGTGTAACAGTAATCAGCTTTATCGGCTTATATTAATCAGTAATCAAAGAAGAATAAAATTCTGTTAACATTTATCTCCATATATATATATAACATTATTTTTATCTAATTATAGCTTATAAAAAAAATTAATATCTGAATCATATTAAAATTCATGATAAAAATATATTGTAATATAAAAATTATATTTTAAATATACATTGAATTATTGAAATTTCAATATAAAATACTTTTATTTGGTAGTTTTTTAATATTTAATTTAATTTTGAAATGTGAAAAAATTTTTATATGATTTAGTAACCGTTAAAGAAACTAATTCAAATGGGTATCAAATTGGAATAAATTGTATTAAAAGTTGAATTAATTAAAAAAATATTATAATTAAACTGAACTAAGTTGTAACTTATAAAACTCAGAATGTTTTAGAATAACATATTTATCTAAAATTATTTAAACAATTTATAACAATTTTGGTTCATTTCAGTTTTCATCAAACTTGAGATATAGTTTAATTTAATTTATTTACATAATTATATTGTTAATAACATTTAATTAACTATTAGTATAACAAGCACATTAAACTCAAAGGGAATATTAATATCTAAATAAATTTATTAAAACATTAAATTTTAGAGAATATATTTTTTAAATATGACATATTTATATTGTTTATTGAATATTTATTTTCTGAAGATGGGTTTAAACATCTACTTGCCAATTATATAAATAAAGAATCATTAGCTTTATAAAAGTAAAGGTATAAGCAAAAACACATATATAATTATCAGGTATATATAATACTTTGTTTGGAAATAAAAAAAGGTTACACTTCAAAACAAACAATGACAAACATTTGTTTGGCCCAAAAACTATCTTAAAATAGTATCCAATAAAATATTAAACCGATAATTATGCAGATTCATTTACTCCTTATCCAAACACTTTTGGCAAGTGGCATGTAATAAAATAATCACATATTCTACCTTATCTGTTTGAAAATAATCAATGTCTTTTGAATGCAACTAAAATATAATAACAATTTTATTTTTTAATTCTTATATTGTTTTTCAAGGAGTTTTAAGAAGTAACAAAATTCGGGTATGTCACTGTTATCTTGATATTAAGGAACGTTGGTATAAGAAATTTTCTTGTTTTCTAATAATATTATGATCAGAATGTTTGTCTTCGTAGATATTTAATTTACTTTTGCTATAAAATTATATTATCTAAAAAGTTGTTTGTAAGGATATTTTTATCTATACTTCTCTATTTAAGGTTTCAAAATAAAATATGAGAATTCAAGCTGTTGAAATAAAAAATGTTTATAAATACTATTAAATTAAATTAGTTAGATAGATAACGTTTTATACAACGTTAACGTTTAAAATAATTAAAATTTTGAATCAGTACAATTTTAACAAGTATTATATCATTTAATATAATAGTATAAATTTAATTAGTTTAACCTTAATTTACAATTACAAATTATAAAATATTGAAATGTTTATGCTTAACAGTTACGTTATTACTATCTTTTACATAAATATATCGTAGAATACATATACATGTATATTTAATATATAATTTATTTACTCATACACATTATAATTATCTTAAACATATGAAACGAAAGATAAAAAAACTATAAACAAAACATAAATTGATTTTTTCAAGAGTTTTAATTATTTTCTTTAAAGACAGTTTGAATCTTATTTCTTCACCTGCTCACATTATAAAAATAATCATTATAAAATAAGAGAAACAAGAGGAGAAAACACAACAAATAAAAGAAAAAGATATAATATACAAAAAGTTATCATATACTTATTAAACAAGTGAGATTGATAAGTCAAGTCAATAACATAATATTAGAATATCATTCACATAAAAAAAGTCTCTTATAGACTCAATCATTCGAATAAAGTGCATTAATGTTGAATACAAAGAAGTTTTAGCATTTGACATGATAACCTCCATCGACAAGGTTAATCCTATATAGGTCACTAGAACTTCAAAAAAGCTATTGATTAGGACTTCTTGTCACTCTCAACTCCTAGCCAATCCTCATCTACATGAGTTTGAATAACTAGTAGAGTATCAAGATAACTTCTTATTTGAGTCCCTACTTTAATGCACTTCTTAGAAACATACTTCACAAGAATTTTCCTTTCAAAATCTTATCATACTCATAATTCATATCTCATCATATTCCAACCATACATTTATATACTACCAACAATTCTTATATGTCTCAAATTCACAAAATACATTTATCATGGAAGTGACTGGACCACTTTGTTAGTTTTGCTCAACAAGATCATCAACTTGTTCAGCAAGTAGTGTCTAAACTCCACTCACTCGACAATTAGAAACTTCACCCAACGAGCTTAGTATATGCCCAATGAGAGCACCACTATAGCTCCCAAGATTTTTTATGCCAAAATTTGCCCAACGAAGTTTCAATGTGGTCACTAACAATCAAGTCAATGAACTCTCTCTAACTTTGGCATTACTAGCGATGCAGCCTTTCACCCAATGAGTGTGCATAATTGCATAAAACGAAATTCTACAGTTATGCAAATTTACACCTATCAAATTCCAATTCAATGCTTCAATCACACTACAAACATACCAATTTGATGTCTAATAGTGCAAGTCAATTCAAACTATCACATTCATTACATCATTCATCACATCCCGAAAATTCATTATACGACCTAAAATATGTATACTTAAGATTTTGCATTCTCTAATTCAACCGCTCATACTTATCAAAATTAATAATTTGTCATACCATCACAAATGAAATTACACATTGAGTCAATTGAACCAATTTAGAATTTATAATAGTTGTAATTAACTTCCCCTACCTTTGATAACAATGCAAATAACTCAGAATCATAAAATAACCTCTAACACACATGAAGCTCTATTCGTCCCTAAGAACAACACAAACATTATTAGGGTATACCATTAGAATCATTGACCAACAGAAGGTCTTATAGATAACTATAAAAAGAGATGTAAAATAGATAAGCCCACTTGCAAAAGAAGAACATATTGAATATAGAAAAGGGACAAAAATCCAACTTACTTAAATTGAGAAATTGATTAGTTGATCTTCAAAAACTCACTGCTAGAAGTAATTCTACGGTCTCAATTATTCAAACAGATAACCTAAGAGTGAGATAACTTAGATAGAATGAAGAAAACTCTAGAAAAGTGCTTTATAGAAAGATAGTGTGTTTTAAAATAATGAAACTCATTTATGAAATTTATTTTTATACCTAAGTCTTGTATTATTAAAATAATCAAGTCTCACCATTTTAACATACTATCAATTCTAAAATACCATTTTATAGGTTCTTATAGCAACAATTTTTATAAATTATATTGGAACATTTGACAACTAACTTCATGTTACATAATTTGGATTATTAAATATCTTATATTTATCTTTTATCTTTAGTTACTTATCTTCGGTTACTTTGTTATTACTTTTTAGTTTGTATTTCAGGCTTAGCCTATATTGTCTTCATTATAAATAAAGTACCATGCGTGTATTTTCTACACAAAGGAGATTAATATCATAGATAGTTTATACATATTCAATATGGTATCTTTTTGAAAAAAAAATTGTCCCCCCTTCCACTTCAATCGTCACCGTCATCAAGGCCGCAGTTGTCATCACCATCACTATTTGTCGCCATGATTGGACAAGATCTCCTTCTGATAAAAGATTTACTTTCGGATAGTGTTTCCATGGGAGGTAACTTGATTTGTTGGAAAAGTAAGAAACAAAGTGTTGTGGCAAGATCTAGTGCAAAAACATAATATAAAGTTATGACCTTAATCACTTGTTAATTTGTTTGGCTTAAGCAATTGCTTAAAGAGTTACAATATGGAGATGTCACTTAAATGAAACTTATATGGGACAATCAGGTTACTCTTCGTATTAGTACTAATCCTGTATTTCACGAAATGACTAAATACATTGAGATTGATTGTGATTTCATTTAAGAAAAAAATGTACCAAAGATCTCAACACTTAGTCCA